CTCCTATACAGCAAAGGCAGATTCTGGCCTGTGGCTTAGACAGTGCAGGAGACAGTGAAGTGACCCAGTGAAGCCACACGTGGTGGTGAACTGTTAGGCCCACTAACATGTGTTGGAGGATCCATACATTGAGTTCACTAAATGTTCTCCAGCTCTCACTTGTAGTTCATTCACACTCCTATCAGGCTGCATGGCATCTCCATTTCTATTTAAAACAGATTTTCAAAATAGCCATTGGGTCTCCAGGACCCACGCGTGACACTTCCCACGCCATACAATGCACGCATCTAAAGTGTACACTCCAGTGGGTTTCAGTCTGACCACAGCTATGTAACCATCACTACCGTGGTCAATTCCATTTTATGACTTTTTTTTTTTAAAGATGTGTTTATTTGAAGGCAAAGTTAGAAAGAGAGAGTTCTCCTTCTCTGATTCACTTCCCAAATGCCCACAACAGCCAGAGCTGGACTAGGTCCAAGCCAGGAGTCAGAAACTCCATCCGGGTCTCCTTCACGGAAATCAGATGCCCAAAGGTTTGGACTAGCTTCCATTGTTCTTCCAGGCGCATTAACAGGGAGCTGGATCAGAAACACAGCAACAAGGACTTGAACTGGTGCTCTGATATGAGATAGCAGGTGGAATCACAGGCAATTGCCTCACCCTCTGAACCACAGCACTGGCCCTGCCCTTTTACTGCTCAATTTCAAGACTATGATAGCCATTCTGATGGATAAGCCATGGCAACTGATTGTGGGTTTCATTTGTGTTTCCCTGAGGGTTCATGAGGTTTGAGTGTCTTTTCACCTGCTTATCAGCCATTCCATTCACCTGTCTACCTTGGAAGAACCTCTTCTCAAATCTTTTGCACATTTCCACATAGGTTGTCTTTTTAATGTTGAGTTGTAAGAGTCCTTTATATACAAAGCAATGCGTTGCTGCTAGCCAGGTTTGCAAGATCTCTCTCCCCTTCTGCAGCTGTCTACATTTTCTAGATTTCTGACATAGCAGGGTCTAGGGGTGAGGGTTGGGGGACTTTAACAGACTGATAGCTCTGAGGCAGCAAGGTAAGGGAAGGAGGGAAGGAAGAAGGAAGGGAGAGAAGAAAGAAGAGAGGCAGGGGGCAGAGTCAGCTGAAGAGATGAAGCTTGAAGGCCTTGGGGGTAACCCTGGGCTTCGGTATGGGGAGCTGTCCAGTTTGTCTTAAAGCGGGTGCTGCCTGTGGACCCTGTAGGATAAAGCACGGCTCCTCCATGTCTGAAGACATGTGAGCCAACCACAAGGAAAAGCAATGGGGGACCACCCACATCGTGCCTGAGAGCAGACCCTCCCAAGCCACAAACACAGCCTGGGTTTGGCCCCACTAGGAACTGGGAGGGAACTGTGAGCTTGGGCACACCCCAGCCCGCATGCCCTTTTGTCCGCTATTGCAGGAGGTGAACGAGACTTGGTGCGTGCCTGTCTGCCTGGCTGTGCCTGCCTGCGTGGCTGCCATCTGATCCCTTGCTGTTCCTTCTCCAGTAGCTATAAATAGAAGCCCTGGGGCAGGCAGGGTCCCTGGAGGTCCAGGCAGGACTGGACAAGCCCTCCTCCTCAGTCTATGAATACAGTGCTGGATCTGGGGGCCAGGCCAGGACTAGCACCCCCTGTCTTGTTCCTACCTCTACCTCAGTCCATCAGCAAGGCCTTGAGCAGAAGATATTCCCATGGGCCCTGCCCAGGCAGCACTTGGAGGTCACCATGTGCACCCACAGGCACCTGCACCTGCCAGACCTGTGAGATCCAACTCCAGGCTCACACACATGCTGGTCCTGGCAGTGCCCCTTAGGGAGATCTGATGGCTGTCTTCAGATGAGTGAACCCTGGCACAGAGGAGCCAAGCAACCTGCCCAAAGCCACCCAGCCCCTTAACCAGCTGCTTCCCTATCCATTCTGGGTCATTGGGTTCAGCGCCTCACCAAAGAGAAACACCCCAGGGAGCTTCAGTCCCAGGGGCAAGGACAAGATCAGCCCCGAGTCTCTAGTTCCTGCCCATGGCTTCTATCTGCCTAAGGAGGCAACTTCAGTGGTCACCCCCAAACACCTGGTGATGCCTAGTCTGGGGTTCAGCATACACTGATGGGCAGGCATGGGTAACATGTCTCTTTAGAGCCCTGACAGTTTCAGGGTCCTAGGATTGGTGCATGGCAGAATGAGAATGAGAGCCGAATGAAGCTGTCCAGCAGCAGTGCCTGGTTCTCCTGGCTAAGCAGCCTCAAACAGGATATTCAGCACCACCCTGCCTGTTTGTCTGCTAGGGGCACATGGTTCCCAACCTATACTCAGCTGGGCAGGGCGTGCAGACAATGCAGGCCAGAAAGATACTGTCATCTTTAATGGTGGTTCTTCTCCACTCCCCACCCCACCCTGCCCACCATCACTGGAAGATGCCCACAGAACCAGACAGAAAACATCTTGTCCCATTTTGCAGGCAGGTCAGGCAGGGGCTGAACAGAGGGAGTTCCTGGCTGGTGCCCACCATGTCTGTGCCAGAAGTGATCGTGCCTTAAGTTTGCCTGTCCCTGCTATCCTATAGGAGAAAGTGGGCTGAGTGTCAGAACCACCTGATTTATTTTTTTCAAAGGATGTGTTTGAAAAGCAGAGAGAGAGAAAGTGAGATCTTCCATCTGCTGATTTATTCCCCCAAGGACCTCATCACCCAAGGCCTGGGCAAGCCTAAGCCAGGAACCAGAAACTCCACCCAGGTCAGGGACCCAAGCACTTGGACTGTCTTGCACTGCTTTCCTAGGTGTATTAACAGGGAGCTGAATCAGAAGCCGAGCAGCTAGGAGTCGGTGCTCTGACCCGCACTTCAGGCATCTACTTAACCCACTGCACCACAGTACTGGTCTGTGTCAGAGGCTAAGAAACTCCCACACTGGGCACTGCAGGACAGGAACTGTGTTCTTGGAGTTAATCTTGGGTGTGGTGGCACCATTATACTGACCCGTCTCAGCCCATGCCAACCCAGTCCCGCTTCTCTCCCAGGCATCTGTACATCTCACTGTCCTTAGCTGGGCGACAATACTGAGTGATGTTTAGATTGCAGAGCAAATACCAGCCCCCAGGGCCATTCCTCCCCTCACTGACCATCTGGGCCCCTCTAGCAAGATCCCCCCCTTCTCTGAGTCTTGGTCTCAGAGATAGGGGAGACTTGTACCTGGTACCTGCCATTCTTGTGAGAGCAACATGACTTTTCCTAGAACAAGGAACAAAAGATCAGAGAGCAGGGTTGGCAGGCCATAGGTGATCCAGAGATAGGAGCTGCTTCCAAGTCACAGTTTCTAAAAACTATCAATGGTCTAAGATATAGTATGGGACACTTGCCTGGGTTTGAGTCTCACTCAGCTTCCAATCCCAGCTTCCTACTAACATGCACCCTGGGACGCAAGCAAGCAGTGGGTCAAGTAGCCAGGTCCCTGCTTTCCATGCGGTTGATCTGGCTTGACTTCCTAACTCCCAGCTTCCACCTGGCCCGATATCTCTTCTGCCTCCCTCTTCTCAAATAAATCAAGACAAAGCCAGAAAGCTTAACAGGGTTGTGATCTCTGTAAACGGGGTGGAGGCTGGAGCCCAGAGAGGCGTAGGAACTTGCCCAGGGACACACAGGGGATTCCTGGCAGAGCCCAGCCACAGCCTCCTGGACCTTCCATGAGAGCCTGTCCTTCAGACTGCTGTGGTTCATTCCTTGTTCAGAAGGTACCAGGGGAGTTGCTCTGGGAAAATGAGAAGAGGGCAAATGCTACACCTGCTGTCTTATCCACTCCAAGCAGGGCTCCTGCACCCCCTCCGTCTACCAGGCTCCAGCAGCCCGTGAGGCTGTGGATTTCTGCTCAGTGTGATGCTCTTACAGGCATAAGAGCAAGTGACCTGCGGCTACCAAGAAAACTGATAAGATAGAAGCACTGTCAAAACATATAGGGGAGGAGCACCACTGTGGCAGGTTAAACCACTGCTGGTGATGCCAGGATCACGTATCAGAGTACTGGCCCAAATCCCTGCTGCTCCACTCCCAACGCAGCTCTCTGCTGCTCCACTCCCACCGCAGCTCTCTGCTAATAATGTGCCTCAGAAAGCAGCGGAGGATGGCTCACTGAGGTGGGGGCCCATGTTGGAGTTCCCAGCCCCTGTTGTTGCAGGCGTTTGGGTAGTGACCCAACTGATACATTTTTTTTCTTATCTGTGCTTCTGTCTCTGTCATCCTGCCTTTCACACATACATCTCTTAAAAAAAAAATAGGAATTGCATAATGCTTCCTTTTTTATACACTCATGCTTCTTCCATAGCACATGAAATAACAAGACCCAGGGAAGGTCTAATGCCTAGCTTAGCCTTACAATAGTGTTGAGTTTGAAAAGTACTTGGAGAATCCTCAGAAGTGAGTGTGTGCTGTGATGCAGATCAGGTGACTCGCTATTGCTGACGCACTCGCAGGCTCTGTTCATGCTCCCGTGATCATCTGTTGGCTTGCACACTTGCCTGAGGCAGCACGTGTCTGGTAGATGTTGGTAACAACGTAAATGTCATCTTTTCCATCCAAGTTCACTGGGGACTCCTCCGTGTTCACTCATATTGCAGGTTCGACAGGAAAGATCCCCAGTCTGTCTTCAGGCCTCATTCAAGGCCAGATCTCCCCAGTCCTACCCTTGTTGAAGAGTAGGGTTACAATATTCATTCATTCCTTCTGCAAATGTGAACACTATTCTACCCAACAAACAGTGAGATCCAGAGTCAGATACATCCCTGCCGTCAGGCTGCTTGCCATCAGCCTAAGGCACAGCCTGAGAGGCCAGTCCCAGAATGCAAGGCAGAGCCAAACACAGGACCTGTGTTTATTTTTTTCAATCCTCAAGATAATACACAACGAATTCATGTTGTTAGGTGACCAATGGGCAAAGGAGGGAGGTAGGAGTGGGCCTGGTCCAGGAACCCCTCGCTGAGCAGGTGTCGGTCTTGTTTTACAGCTACTGGGATGTCGGGAGAGATGGACAAGCCTCTGATCAGCCATTGCCTCGTGGACAGCGATGGCAACCTGGCTGAGGCCCCCAGTGGGGCCCCCAAAGTGGGCATCCTGGGCAGCGGGGATTTTGCCCGCTCCCTGGCCACTCGTCTGGTGTGCTCTGGCTTCAGCGTAGTGGTGGGAAGCCGTAACCCCAAGCGCGTGGCTGGGCTGTTCCCCGCTGCAGCCCAGGTGACTTTCCAGGAGGAGGCGGTGAGCTCCCCAGAGATCATCTTTGTGGCTGTGTTCCGGGAACACTACTCCTCGCTGTGCGGGCTCAGTGACCAGCTGACCGGCAAGATCCTGGTGGACGTGAGCAACCCCACGGAGCAGGAACACCTCCAATATCGCCAATCCAATGCCGAGTACCTGGCCTCCCTCTTCCCCAACTGCACTGTGGTCAAGGCCTTCAATGTTATCTCTGCCTGGACCTTACAGTCCGGCCCCAGGGATGGAAACAGGCAGGTAGGTTGTGGGTGGATGAGTGGGAAATGGGGTGGGCGAGAACAGATGTCTTAGGAATAAATGTAAATGGCACATTTGCACTGAGGACCTCACTCACTTTTTACAGCAGTGTCTCCACTAACCTTGCCCCTACTGAGCAAGTCCATTTGACAGAGCAGGTAGCTGAGGGTCAGATATTGCAGTGGTCCTCCTCCATCTGGTCTTCCACATATGTAGTAGGGGTCCAAGAACTCGGTCCATCTTCTGCCCTTCTAGGCACATTAGCTGGAAACTGGACTTGAAGCAGAGCATCCAGGGCTCAAACCAGTACACTGATAAGGGATGCAGATATCCCAAAGTGGGTGGCTTAGCCTGCTCTGCCACACGTCATCCCCGCAGCTGGGGTTCTGAAGAGGGACTGTCAGTGTGTCCCGGGATGGGCCACTTAACCAGCCCCCAGAAAGTGGCTTTCATGCCCAAAGACCAGCTACATTTTCCTGGAGGAAGCATGCCAGACTTGGTGTTATGTGCTCAAGAAAGTACACCGATGCTTCTAGCCCCAGTAGCTGCCTTGTTGGATATTTTACCAATGTTAGTGAATTGAGCAAGAGACTCAGTGCCAGCAATTTCTGTCCTTGAGTGGTGGACCTTCTGAGCATCCCAGGCCAGAGGCTGGGAGACCACAGAGGAATAGCTGAAAACTTCCCCACACCCCCATCCCAAGGTACCGATTGCTGCCAGCTCTGCAGTTAACTGAGCCCCACATTTGTCTGACGATCCCCCTTCTTATCTCCTTCCAGGTGCCCATCTGCAGTGACCGGCCGGAAGCCAAGCGTGCCATCTCAGAGATGGTACACACCATGGGTTTCACGCCCATGGACATGGGCTCCCTGGCATCATCCCGGGAGGTAGAGGCCATGCCCCTGCGCCTCCTCCCAGGCTGGAAAGTGCCCACCCTCCTGGCCCTGGTGCTGTTTGTCTGCTTCTATGCTTACAACTTCCTCCGGGATGTGCTGCAGCCCTACGTGCAGGAGGGCAAGAACAGGTTCTACAAGATGCCCGTGTCTGTGGTCAACACCACACTACCATGCGTGGCCTACGTGCTACTGTCGCTGGTGTACCTGCCCGGTGTGCTGGCAGCTGCCCTGCAGCTGCATCGTGGCACCAAGTACCACCGCTTCCCCGACTGGCTGCACCAGTGGCTGCAGCACCGCAAGCAGATCGGGCTGCTCAGCTTCTTCTGCGCTGCCCTGCACGCTCTCTACAGTTTCTGCCTCCCCCTGCGACGCTCACACCGCTACGAGCTGGTCAACCTGGCCGTCAAGCAGGTACGTGTTCCAGGCCCTGCTCCTTCTGCACCCACCCTGTGCCACTGTCACCACCATCCAGGTACCAAGTGTGTCGTGAATCACAGGTGCAGCTCTATGAGATGCTGTTGAGTGTATCCTGCTCTAAATAGGCAGTGTCCGTCACCTCTAGCAGAGGAGGCAGAAGGACTGGCACATACTGGGAGCTCCTATCTGTTGGTTTCTTTTCAAGATGCCATAATGGGTAGGACTGAGTCTGGGCCAGAGCCAGGACCAGGAGCCCAGAGTTGGGGATGGAGTTTAGGTCTCCCACATGTGGCAGAAACCCAATTTTTTGGGTCTCCCAGGGTGTGCATGAGCAGGAAGCTGGGGTCAGGGATGGAAATGGGAATCTAATCCAGGCACCGGGTGTGTGAAAAAAGTACCTTTTTTTAGATTCAAATAAAAATAAAATTTTTTGAAAGGCAGGAGAGACAGGGAGAGAGTTCTTCCATCCACTGGTTCACTCCTCAAATATCTGCAACTGCTGGAGCTGGGCTGGCCCAAAGCCAGGAACAGGGAGCTTCCTCCAGGTCTCCCACAGACTTGAACCATCCTCTGCTGCTTTCCCAAGTCATTAGCAAAGAGATGAATCAGAAGTGGAGCAGATATGAACTGGTGCTCATATGCAGCCAGAGGCTTAACTTACTATGCCACGGTGTCAACCCCAAGGGAAATAAGTGTCTTAACTGGTGGCTTGGCCACCAGGCCAAATACCCATCTGCCCAACTCCAAGATTTTGACTGTCAGTAAGCAAAACAAAACAGATGGAATTCTTTACACTGTGTGGACACAGCCTAGTTGGTGTGGGCTTATGCCAAACAGAGCAGAAAGACATGTCCAAGATCACGAGTGCTCATGAGTGCAGTACAGCAGGGAAGGGCAGGGAGTGTCGGTGGAAGGATGTTTGGGGGAGGCCTTGCTGAGTGAGTGGGCAGAGACCAGGGGAGCCAGGTGGTCAGCGGAGGCGCAGGAGAAGGTGTTGCAGGCCAAGGGGTAGCAATTGTAGAAGCCCGAGGTAGACATGATCCTGGCATACTGCACAGCAGCCAGGCGGCCTGTGTGCAGCCAGCAGTTCTGTGGGGTAGAGGCCGAGCCTGGGGGCTTTGAAGGCCAAGGAAGGGAAGCCAGGAGCCAACAAAGGGGCTTCAATGAAGGAATAAGGAAACTTTTGATGTTTGTCCTGCCCGGCAGAGAGGGTCTAAGGCCAACCCTGGGAGGCCAGACACAAGGAGGCTGTGCATGAACTTGAACATGTGGGGAAGGGGAGACTGGGAGTTGGATGGGCAAGGCAGGGGCAGGTGGTCCAAAATAACTCCGGGTTGGTGGTCTGAGCATCGGGGAAGGTGGGCAGGCTGCAAGAATGAGTAATTTGAGCTTGGGTTTATTGTTATTATTATTATTATCATTTTAATTATTATTATCCAGTGCACTGCTTTGCACCATTCATTTTTTGAAATGTCATGTGGTGCTCTTGAGCTAGCATTGGAGAGCTGTGTGGTTAGGGGCCTCGCCAGGTAGGGAGACAGGCAATGTCACCCAGCTCTCGCACTCAAGGAAGGACACCCCACAGCTCCCTGCCGAACCACAGGGTCTACAGCAACAAATGCACGTCCACATCCATGGTCAGTGCACGGGTCCTGACCAGTCTAGGATCCGACTCATTCCCACCCCTCATCTCTGCCAGGGCATCCCTGAAGCATCTGTTCCTGCCCACATGTGCCAAGTTGCCATTCCCTGGGAGGGCATGGCTCTAGTGGCCCAGCCCTCAGCCCCTTCCTGCCCTTATGGGTACCAGCTCCTCTGCTGGCGGTGTTTCCACTGCCCCATCCCTTGGCACCCACAGATACCTGGCATCCTTGGCATCTATGGGCTGAGATTCTCTGAGGAGGAAGGAGGACCTGCATGCTCCAGGCACAGAAATGCTGGAAATGAATGGAAATGAATGGAAGGAGAAAAAAGTAATAGTCAGGAACCCTTAAGAAGAACTTGCTGTGTTCCAGGTGCCCTTCCAGGAACTGTGTGTCCCCACCCTGAGCTCCTTTCACCCTAAAGCAGTTACTGTACCACCCTGCAGCTCAGAGGGATTAAGTAACCTGACCAGTCACGCAACACTGGGATTCTAATCCATACTCCTAACCTTATGGCTTTTTTTTTTTTTTAAGATTTATTGCTTTTGGGCCTGGTGCAACAGCTCAGTGGATAAATCCTTGTCTTACATATGCCAGGATCCCATGTAGGCACTGGCTCATGTCCCAGCTGCTCTACTTCCCATCCAGCTCTCTGCTTGTGGCCTGGGAAAGCAGTAGAGGATGATCCAAAGCCTTGGAACCCTGCACCTGCATGGGGGACCTGGAAGAAGTTCCTGGCTCCTGGCTTCGGATCGGCTCAGCTTTAGCCCTTGTGGCCACTTGGGGAGTGAACCAGTAGATGGAAGATGTTTTTCTCTGTCCTTCCTTCTCTCTGTAAATCTGCCTTCCTAATTAAATTAATCTTTAAAAAATATTTATTTTATTATTACTATTTGAAAGGCAGAGTTAGAGAATGGGGGAAAAAATGTTCCATCTGCTGGTTTACTCCCCAAATGCCTGCGATAGCCAGAGCCAGGCTGGTGCAAAGCCAAGAGCCAGAAGCTTCTTCCAGGTCTGCCATGTGGATGCAGGAGTCTAGTCACTTAGGCCATCCTACACTGCTTCCACAGGCTCATTACCAAGGAGTTACATCAGAAATGGAACAGCTGGAACTTGAACCAGTGCCCATATGGGATTCTGACACCAATGCCAGAGGCTTTACCTGTTCTGCCATGTTGGTGGCCTTTACCTATATGGCTTTCTGCAGAGGAAACAAACCCAAAACTAATAATCGAGGGACTGCTCTCCTCTCGGGTCACTCATTTGCTGAGCACCTGCTGTGTGTCATGGCTGTAGAAAGGAATAAGAGAGATGCACCTGGCCCTGTCCCCTACCCCAGCTATGGTCTGAAAGTTCCAAGGCCAAAGCCCTAGACTCTGGTCCTCCAGCTCATCAAGATCTTAACCTTGGTGCCATCACCAAGGCCTTGGTGGTGCAGAAGAAGCTCTGTCACACACAGCTGATATTTTATTTGTTCAGAGGATATTTTCTTGCATCTCCAAAGAGCAGATGGCTCAGCAAGAAACTCCGTGGGGCTCCTCAAAGATGGAGTACAGGAATTGCTGCCCAGGAGGTGGCGGATCCAAGGGGAGGGGCTCATCTCTGAGCTGGCAGTGGTGGGGTAGGTAGCCTTTGATGCTGTCCGCCCCCGCTGCTTCCCATCCCTGCAACCCAAAAAGTGACTTTGTCTAAATTCTCTGCCTGGCCAAGAGCTCGCCTGGACATCGTGTGAACCCAGAGCCCAAAAGGGTGGGTGCGAGGTCATTTCCTCTGTGGGACCCTGGCAGGCCCTGGTGGAGGTTGCCAGGCAACCACTCCCCTCTTTGAGGCAGGCTGCCTCCCTGGAGACACACAGAAGGCCTGCTATACAGAAGGGCTTGAACTTATCCTGAGAGTTCTCAACAGCAACCCTCACTGTTTCCTTCACCTGCCCACATCCCAAGCTCCTGGGAGAGGATGTGGGGAGCCTGGGGAGATGAGACAAGGCAAGGGTTCAACTGTAGCAGTCTGGAAGCTACATGAACCTGGAGACGGTCCAGCACAGGCTCTCGGTTCTGCCTGGTGTGTGGCTTTCCATGACTCTCTCGGCCCTCTGGGTAAAGGGAACAGCTTGGGGCCGATTCAGGAAGTTGCTCCAGGATTTGCTGAGGGCCCTCAAGTCTGAAGAGGTGGCGGGAACCTGTATCAAGAGGCACAGAAAAGCTTTGAGAGTGAGTTTGTCAACAGGAAGATGGCCCACAATAGCAAGCAGGTGGACAGGGCTTTCTGAGCACTTACACGGGCCCAAGGGACTGCATTCCAACATCTAAAGCAAAGATCAAGATCAAAGCAGGCGTTTAGGCTGCCTGCTGATTTCCTGTTCCCCTCACCCAGATCTCATCAGTACATGGCTGTCAGCTGGGAAATTGACTGTGCCCTGTCATGGCCCTGAAGCCTCTGTGACCCCTGCTGTCTTTGGAGTCATGGAACACCCTTGGCAAGGGGGCCATGCCCCATCCCCTGCCTCATCTCCACTTGTCCTCTGATGTTTCACATGCTTCTGACATGTCATTCCCCTTTGTGTGAGGCACCCACCCTGGGACCCCTTATAGCCTGGCTGGCTCCCAGACTACCTATAGGCCAACATTGTGGCACATCAGGTTAAGCCACCACTTAAGATGCCAATATCCAACACCATATTAGAGTGCCAGTCCTATTCCTGGCTATTCTGCTTACAATCCAGCTCCCTACTAATGCTTCTGAAAGTAGCAGAAGATGGTCCAAGTGGATGCCAGGGTGGAGTTCCAGATTCCTGCTTCGTTTGAGTTGGCCCAGCCCTGACTGTTGCAACCATTTGGGAGGATGAACCAGCAGATAACCTAATTCTCTCTTTCTCTCTCTCTCTCTTTCTGTCTTTCCTTCTTGTCTCTGCTTTAAAATAAACTTGTTTTTATTTTTTAAGATTCAACATAATTCATAGATAGAATTCTAAGATTATGATGATATTCCCTTCTTTTCCTCCTCTTCTGCTTCTTCTTCTTCTCTCTCTCTCTCTTTTCGAGATAGCATATTTTAAATTTACATTAGTCTACAGCTTAATGCTCCACCAAAGGCTTAACAAATGAAAAGCAAAAAAGACCAGGGCCTGGAGTGGTTGCATAACAAGTTGAGTTATGGGTGCTGATTCAAGTGTCAGCTGCTCCATTTCCAATCCATCTCTCCACCTATGTGCCTGGGAAAACAGCACAAAATGGCTCAAATCCGTGGGTCCCTACACCCATATGGGAGAACCAGAAGAAGCTCCTGGCTCCTGGTTTGATTCTGGCAGAGACCCTATAAAGATGGCATGCCCCCTGCCCCACCCCTGAATTGTATTAACCTCCTGCAGCCTGTGTCCCTACTTCCCCTGGAATCTGTTCTGCTGTGTGCAAGTACTTTTCCCCACACCCTGCTTGTCACCCATTTGCGTGGCTGTCCTTCTGCTAGACTTGCTGTCTCGTGATTTAGTCAGCCTCATCCTGAGATCTGTGGTTTCTAACAGGTGTGTGTGTGTGTGTGTGTGTGTGTGTGTTTTGAGTGACTGATGGTGAAATAGATCACCCCCAAACACCACCAGGCGTGGTTTAAAATCAATACCTGTGAAACTTGGGGCAAGATTGAGTCAAACTGCCTGGCGATCATGGAGGCCAACAGTACCAGCTACTTTGTGCATGCTGTGGACACAGCAGTGCTGTTAACCACAGAAGGGCCAGTCCAGAGCCTTGTAACTTCTCTCTTGTCAGCTTCCAAGCCTGAGGCACTGCCACGCAAGCTACCCCTGCAGCCTCCTCTGACATTGGCAAGTGGAGGGGCACTTCCCACTACCACCCACTCTGCAATCAGCCTCACCGACCCCCATGCCCCTCAGCTCCTGTGGCACCTGGCCTGCCTCCTAGAGGGTGAGAAAACCCCACTGTGGAGTGCCAATTCTGAGTGCTGACCAAGCCCACCCTCCTTGGCCAAGCTGATCTGTTCCACACGTGGGAAAATCAGGAGGAAAGGGACAAGGTGGCTGATCTGCCTTCTGGAGGCACTTGGCATGTCCCAATCAGGATTTCCAGCTCTGACTCCTAACCCTAGCTCCTTGCTAATGCATATCCTGGGAAACAGCTGTGACGACTCAAACCATTGGGTTCCTGCTGCCCACATGGATGGCCTGGATTTCCTCCCTGGCTCCTGGCTTTGATTCATTGGGGACATTTGAGGAGTGAACCAGCAAGTAGAAGTTGACTCTGTTTCTCTCTCTCCCTTTGCCTCACAAACAAATAAATAATTTTTTTAAAGTCTACAATGTAGGTAGCCAGGTATGCCCCCACTCCCTGGGGCACTCTGGATGCAGCACCACAGCTCAGTAAGTTGGGAACAAATCTTGACAGATAGGGTCTAGGTACTTAAGCAGGCTCCTCACTGTAGATGGTTCACCTGCCCACCCTTCTCCTCCTTCCCAAGCATCTCTGCAGAATGGAAATGCTAGAGGGGAAAAAACAAAAAACAAAAACCTTTGCCAGGCACTGTGCTGCGCGCTGTCATCCACAGCCTGATGTGTGACATGAACTGCCTGATCGTCCCGAGATGCAGACAGCAGTGACTAATGAGATGCCGCTGGAGAACAGACACCTCGAGAGAGCCAAGGGAGGAGGGGGTGAGAGCTGGGCACCACAGCTGCCATGGGGCCCTCACTGTCCTCTGTAGTGCCGCTTTGGCCGCACCTCCCAGCCAAGGCCAGCTTCCTTCCACCCCTGGGGACACAGGTCAAAGCAGAGGCACAACCTTGTCCACATCTTCCAGTTAGAGAAACTGGGCCAGATGTGGATGCTAGTCAGGACAAAAAGAGGGGGTCATAGGGCTTGCAATGTTCTTTTAAAAAAAAAACAGATTTATTTATTTATTTATTTATTTATTTATTTATTTATTTATTTGAAAGATAGGGTTACAAAGAGAGAGAGAGAGAGAGATCTTCCACCTACTGGTTCACTCCCCAAATACCCACAGCAGCACCCAGGTGGGACCAGAGCTAGGATCCGGGAGCTTCATCTGGGTCTTCCTTATAGGTGCACAAGGCCAAGCTCTTGAGCATCTTCTGCTGCTTTTCCCAGGAAACTGGGTTAGAAGTGGAGCAGCTGGGGTTCAAACCTGCACCTAAATGAGAGCTGGCACTGCACATTCCCAGCCCCAAAGCTGTACATCTTTTTAAAAAGGAGAACTGGGACCCCCAGACTCCAGGTCTTCCATGACTCACAGACACCAACATTAGCCAGCCTGCCCTAAAATAGAGTCGAGACAATTGTTTCCTCCAAATTACAGGAAAAAGGTGCCGGATGAGTGGCATTTTCCATTTCTTTCAACTTTCTGTCTCCTAAGCCCTTCAGCAGTTAGTTGCTCAGCCGCTGGATTCATCATTTAATATTTTACCTGGTAACTGGGCTTATGTTCTTTTTCGGCTGCTGCAATAACTTTTCAAAAATCTCGTGTGAGTCACGGGGTCTTGGAGGCAATGACTGTCTTGTTCTGCAGAAGAGAGGACTCAAAAGACCTGCACTTCCTGGTCTTTCAGCTGCACCTGCAAGAACACTGCTACCTGGGCCAACTGTAGGATGACATTCCTAATGCCAAGACCTTGATCCCAGTTCTTGCTGCATGTGTGTGCTGAAGTGGCTCAGCTCTGGGCACTTGAGAGGGAGGAAGGGTTGAAATCTTGGGGCTCACAGAAGTTCCAAGGTATCCTGGGAGTCATGGAGGGAGTGGGACTCAGAACTCAATGAGGGCTACACTGTCATCTGTATCCCCTGGGACTGGCACACAGCAGGTGTTTCCTAAATGCATGGAAAAGGAGGTCAAGGTCAACAGGAGGTGACCAGGGAGACTGGCCCAGTGGGAGACAAGTTGGGAGAGGAGGCCATCAGCAGGGCAGGAGCTGGACAGAAGAGGCTCTGCCCTACCATGGATGCAGTGAGCACTCCACCAGGTAATGGAATCATACTGGCTAGGACTGTGTTTCCTGCAGCCAAGTCAACTTTCTACTCTTGGCTGATGAGACTGCCAGGGTTGTCTGGTCCCCAGGCAAATGTGAGAAAACCTAGAGAATCCATTGTCTTTGGAGGCACACCACAGGGCTTTTCATCCTAGCACTGGCAACTACGCATGACTGTGGGTGTAAAATGGGAGAATGGGGGGTTTCTACCTCAACTTCATGGGGCAGTTGTGAGGATTATCTTTTATTTGAAAGGCAGAGTTACCAAGAGAGAAGGAGAGTTAGAGAGATGGTCCTTCCACTGGTCCGCTTCCTACATGGCCACATCAGTCAGGGCTGAGCCAATCTGAAGCCAGGAGCCAAGAGCTTCTTCTGTGTCTCCCAAACACTTAGGCCAACTTCCACTGTCTTCCTAGGACATTATCAGAGAGCTAGATCAGAAATGGAGTAGCCAAGACTTGAGAGATACCCATATGGGATGCCAGTGCCACTGGCAGTAGCTTTACCCTGCAATGTCACAGTACCAATCTCAATTATGAGGATTAAGTGAGTTAATGCGTGATGGGGCAGATGTTTGGCACAAAGGTGAACATGCCATATCCCACATTCTGGCACCTTGGTCCAGGTTCTGGTCCACTCCTGATTCCACTTTCCTCGCAAGTGTGTACCGTGGGAAGCAGCAGGTGATGGCTCTAGGAGTTGTGACCCTGCCACTCATCTCCAAGACCTGGATGAAGTTCCCAGTTATTCTTGGCTTTGGCCCAGTTCAGCTCTGACTGTTGACAGTATTTGGAAAGTGAGCTGACAGTTGGGAGCTCTTTCCTTTTGTGTCTGCCTTTCAGATAAAAGAGATGAATACACCATAGATCAATAAATCAGTTAATATCTGAGAAATGCATAGAAGACAGCCAAACCCAGGTGAGGTGCTCGGCGGGAGCAAGGTGCAGTGGCTTGCTCTGCGAGGTGATGCATGCCCACCATGCTTTGTCCAGTGGCTCATGGCTTTCCTTCTGTCTATGCCAGGTCTTGGCCAACAAGAGCCACTTGTGGATAGAGGAGGAAGTCTGGCGGATGGAAATCTACCTCTCTCTGGGCGTGCTGGCCATCGGCACGCTGTCCCTGCTGGCTGTCACCTCGCTGCCATCCATTGCCAACTCACTCAACTGGAGAGAGTTCAGCTTCGTGCAGGTAAACTCCACCTCCTTCCCCAGTGCTGTGCTGTGGCTTTTCCTACCTGAGCCCTCGGGTTCGCGGGGCAGCGGGGAGGGCAAGCTCAGCCCCCTGACTCTGGGGTAGCACAGCCCAGGACATGAGGAAAAGCTAGAACAGAGCACGAGACACTGAGCAAAGCACATTCAGTTTCCATGGTTCTTGAGTTTCCTAAGCGAAATTGTAGTACTAGCCATCTGGGGTTGGAGAGAGCTTCTGTTGGTGTGAGCAGAACTGGTGAGCTGGGGTGAATGTGCCCCACCTACCACCTGTACTGCGTGTCTCTATCTAGCTCTGCCCTGCTCTCGAACGTGGGTATGTGGAAGGTGTTAGGACCCTGCCTCCTGCAAAGGACAGCCTTCCTAGAAAACCCAGAGCAGGGGAGGTGCACTGTCCAATGAATCCGAGAAAATATCTGAGTGAGTCTAATACACTTCGGTAGATCCATGAGTTGTGGGTGAGGTGGGGTCTAAAGCCCCAGTCCAGGTCCCTGCAGCCCAAGGACAGGTATAAATAGGGTACACAAAATGAACAGGTTTATTTAAAAGGTCACGTGTGGGCATTGCTCAGGAATAGAAGGGGCCGGGGAGGAAAGAACGGAGGTGGTTCGCAAGGAGAGAGAAGGAGAGAGAGAACTCCCTCTCGGTTGCTGGAATTAGAAGCAGTGAAAAATGGCTTCATGGCACCTGTCCTAAGTCCCCCAGGTGAAGGGAGACGCATCCTGGGAAAGGGGTCATTTGACTGACAGATAGGCAGCTAGGATTCCATAGGACCTGGGAAGTAGGGCTTGCAGCTCAGAGCCCTAATCTCCCTCCCTGCCTTATCCCATATCAAAACATCCCTCCCTGTCTTATCTCATGTCAAAACATCCCCAAAACATCTCCAGCCAGCAGCCTCCCTCCTTCCCAGCCTGTTAGTGGCTAAAGAAGCTGAACACATTTGTTTGTTCAGCAAGCACTGACTGAGGAAAGGAGACAGGCAGAGTCACGTTCTGCTGATAGCGACAACAGTGACGGGACCAGTGTCTTACGTTTCTTTGCGCATCTCCCACTGTTGCGCACACAGGGAATGTGGTCAGTGTTGGCGGATTAACTCATCCCCTCCTGTGGAGGGGAGCTGACTCACGCTGGATCCTGTCTCGCCTGGGATCAGGGCAGACAATGGCTTTCCTGTTCTCCCCACCCTCTGTGAACAAACATCTGTCAAGCCCCTTCTGTGTACAGCAGGAATGCTGAGAGGCAGTGAAGGTGCGATGCTGGGACACAACCCAGATAAATGCTTCCTAACAGAGAGATGGGGGGAGGCCTGACCATACTTCACAGAGTCATGGCTGCTTGCTTTGGCTGTGTGTCTGCGGATGAATCTCACTGTTAGCCGAAGGGGGGACATGCATGCATTTTATTTATCTGCGACTAAGCCCCCTGGGTCACGCACCCAAATCTAGGATTTTTCTGTTCCCAGCTGGAGTCTCCTAGGTATATCGTTTGTCCACAATTAAAGCAGGACTGGAGGCGGTTCCCCTAGCTAGCCAGTCGCTCCCTTAAGCAGCTAGAGATTACCTGCCAGGGCTCAGGCTGCCGAGGGAGGGAAAAAAGAAAAACCCAAAACTAGGGGATTTGATTGTGCGAGCAGAAGTGGCTGGGATGGCGGCAGTTGCACCCTACTTTGCATATTGAAGAGTCCAAATGAAAATAGGAAAGTCTTCAACCATGGCCAGTGTGTGAGGGGAAGTATATTGTCGGAAGGCAGGGTTTTACTGAGGGAAAACAAATGGTTCTGTACTCCACCTCCAAAACCCAGCTACTGCATCTCCTGGGAGCACTGAGCCGGAAGGGGCCCCATCGGCACCTGGGGAGCACGGATCCTCTCCCCACCCCACCCATGACCTTGCTCTGTAACCATGTCCACTCCCTGACCCTCAGTTTACCCCCCGGATGGAAGGTTCTACAGGAATTTGGGGATCCATAGCAAGAAATCATGTATAAAGCATTTTGTTATTAGTCCTAGAGTATTGGCCCCATTTCCATTGGCCCTGGCAAAGCCACCAATTGCCCATCCTGATTTCAGTGGGTGGTGACAAGACAGAGTCAAGAGGTCGATGTCCCGGGCAGTGTCTGTGAACTGCAGTGGACACATATTACTGGGTCAGGCATGTCCAAATGTCCTGCTCCATCAGAAACATCACCCCCTCCCCGGTGTGCCCAGGTCCACGCATGTATAGTCAGGAGGATTTGCAAAGAGCAGGATGCATGCAGACACCCCCCATGGCCACAGCCAGCTGATTGTTGAGAGAAGCTATGACTTTCTTCCATCAAGAGGCTGTGGCTCAGGGAACTTGGCTATGGGGATGTGGTGGCTGTGGTTCCCAGGGTGCATGGCTTCCCCTTGGGTCTACAATGATGGATTTCTTTAAACGCCATCCCAGCAGTGAACTGACTTGATGCTGGTCCCCTGCACCATTTTCCTCCTCAAGCTATTTTCAACATTTTCATTTTGCTGCGTTTCTTCAGGCATTTCTGTTTGGTTCAGGCTATGCTAAGTGCTCTTCATTCAGCCATCTGATGGCCAAATTCACCCACACAGAAAAGCACAGTTTTCAGCTCTGAGCACCTAAGTCCACTGGACTGAGAGGCCCTGCCTGTGCCCTTGCCCGCCCCAGCTGATACCTGCATTAATGACAGAGACCAGCCTGACCCACGATCGACCACAGACGCTTCTCACCACAGTAATTGAACACCGCCAGTGGCCGCCTCTGCCGACCCAGCCACTGTCCTGCTTCGCTAACAAGCTTGTGTGTGATAAAAATGGCTCTCGCCCCTGGGGTTATTAATTGCCCCATGACAACGCCTCTCCTTCTTTTGGCCTTCACTGGCTGTTCTGTGATGTTAAAGTTCTTGCCAAGGAGACAGAAAGTCTTGGAGAACAAACCTGCCAGGAGTTTCAAGGTGCATCCCCCCATCCCAGTGGGACTGGCTCCTCTGCCAACAGTGGCAGGGAATATCAATGCACCCCCCTTACCCTTTACCGCAGTGGGACTGGCCCACCCCCTGCTGACAGCCCTTGCTGTAAACCTTCTGTCATCTGCACTGGGCATGAGGTTATGTCCGGGGGAGGGGTGACCCTTGCTAGCTGGGTCCAGGAGCAGTGTCCTTACAGTGTCCCCTGGCAGGATCACAGGTGCCCAGGGCAGGGGGCCAAGGACGGTGCTCCACATGGGCACAGCACTCCAGGGAGACACTTGGTTCTTCCAGGGGTCGCCAGAGCTGCTTCCTGCTCTGTCTGGGATCATCCTGTTGTGCAGAGTGTGAGCACCCAGAGGCCCTCAGTGGATCTAAGGAGCAGGGAGACCCAGAAGCTCTCCAGCCTCCTAACCCAGACCTGGGGACCCCCCCCCCCCGCATACTTCTCAGCCTCAGCATCATTGGCTGACTTTTGACTACTATCAGACTTCTTACTGGGATGAAGTCTCTGGAGGTGGGGCATGGACATCCACAGGAGTGCAGCTGTCGGGTCCAAGTGTGCACCTGTAACCTGAAAGCTCTCAGGGGTAGATAGCGCCTTTCAGCTGAGCTAGCCGTGCCAGTGACTCCACAGTGAGTAAGGGTGGGAGATTCATCAGCTTGGGGACCTCAGGGTGAGTGACAGGTGCTGGGGCCTTGTCCCCCTCGAACATGCTGGGGACCTTCTCAGTCTGCCACGATGAGGTCAGAATTCAGAAAAAGTAGGAGTCACTTGGGTTGCAGGAAACCAGTAATTTAAAACAAAAACAAAACAAACAAAAAAAGAGATTTATTTACTTATTTGAAAGGCAGAATGACAGAGAATGAGAGATGTTTTATCTGCTGGTTCACTTGCCAAATGGCTGCAGCAGCCAGCACTGGGCCAGGCAGGCCAACAGCCTAGAACTCCATCTCTGTAAGTTACCTTAACATCAAGTCACTTTCAACCTGGCCTTGCCTGGCGCCAGATGTTAGCTGTGAAATGCTTTTGGTGAGGCTGCCAGGCACTTGTCACTGCAGTATATGTTAAAATACATGCAAAATGGTGGCCTGTGTTGTGGTGTAGCAGACTTAGCCTCAACCTGTGGCACTGGCATCCCACAGTTCATGGTGCCGGTTCAAGTTCAGGCTGCCCCACTGCTGATTCAGCTCCCTGCTGATGGCCTGGGAAAGCAGCAGATGATGGCCCACGTGCTTGTGGCCCTGCACCCATGTGGTAGACCTGGAAAAGCTTCTGGCTCCTGGCTGAGGATCAGCTCAGCTCCTACTGTTGTGGTCGTTTGGGAAATGAATCGGAATAGATGATCTCTCTCCATCTCTCTGTAATTCTACCTTTTAAATATATGTGTATTTATGGTGTGTGTGTATATATACACATATATAGTGTGTGTGTGTGCAAAATTGTCAGTTTTTTAAACATTTTGGAACACCTAAATTCACCCGGCAGTCACAAGAAGTGCAAATTACACCTTGGGGGGGAGGGTCATTGCTGTCAAATGTGCACGAATGCATCAGTTTCAATGGTGTAGAAGCATTGTTCCCATTTTCCAGCTGGGAATCCTGAGGCTCAGAGCTAGGGCAGGACTGGGATTTGAACCCCGAATCCTGAGTTCCACAGGTACCGCTCCAGCAAGTGAACAGAGGAGACATTGTCAGAGCTGCTCAGACCTCATTGCCAACCTCTTTTCCTCCACAGTCCACGCTGGGCTTCGTGGCTCTGGTGCTGAGCACCCTGCACACGCTCACCTATGGCTGGACGCGTGCCTTCGAGGAGAGCCGCTACAAGTTCTACCTGCCGCCCACCTTCACGCTCACGCTGCTGGTGCCCTGCGTCGTGATCCTGGCCAGAGGCCTGCTCCTCCTGCCCTGCCTCAGCCGCAGACTCGCCAGGATCCGCAGGGGTTGGGAGAGGGGCAGCGCTGTAAGGTTCATGGTGCCCACCAACCCGGCACTGGTGGAGAAGACCAGCCACGTGTGAGGGGCCACATGGGAGCCCTCGCCCAGAAAGGGGACCTGCTCTGCATGTGTGCGGGAGTGTGTGGGTGCAGTTCTTCTCCTCTGGATGGTGTGGGGGCCTGGGTCATTTACACACAGACAGGTGTGGTTGGACTCCCTGGGACAGCCGCAGGTGCATGCAGCGATGTGTGCACCAACACACAGCTACATGATGACCACAGTGTCTGTACAGCACTTGTTTCCCATCCGGAGCGGAATTTGCGTCTCTGCCTACCCAGCAAGTTGGCTCTCTGAGATTTCAACGTGCAGGTTTCACTGCCAGGGCTGGATGTTAGGCAAAGAACAGAACGCTCCTCTGTACATTGCACCTTGTGCAGGGGAAGCTGTGACTTGGTTGGGTTCCCATTCATGGATGCCCCTGCCCCAGCCCTCTTTCCTCTCTTGCCAAGACTTGTGCTGAGCTGGTACTCAGGGCAGGGGGTTGGAGGGGTGTCAGGAGGAGGGGCAGGGAAGACAACAGCCCTGCCTGGAGTCCAAGATGAACTTGATTTGCCGTGGGTGGGGGTAGGGGTCCACTTGCTCCCATCCTTCAGCCTTGGGCAGCAGTGGGAGGTTCAGGGCACCTGGAGGGCTAGACTCTGGGTCCTGTGTCCATGTTTGTCCTTTGTTCTGATGCTTCCTGCGCTGGGCATGTGTGTTTTCCGGTTTGTTTGGGTTTTTGTTGTTTTTTGGGGTTTTTTTGTGTGTGTGTCTCCCCTAAAAGTCAGAGCAAATCAATCCTCCTGCAAGAGTATGCGGTCCCCTCTGGCCTGGGTTACACTAATGAGCCCTGGCTTGAGGACAGGTGTGATGTGTCCCAGTGATAACTGCCTTGGCCACCTCATTGTGCCTTCTTACCTCTCCGGTCCTGGGTGACAGCATCATCCCAGGGAATGCCCAGGGCAGATCCCTTAAGAGTCAGCCAGATGCACAACTGGGAGAGCCTGCCATGAGGGCCACAGGACCGCCCCGTGGACAAAGAACAGAACCCCTTCCAATGGCCATGTGCAGAGCCCTGCCTTCCCATCACGCCAGAGGAGCCAGCCTGGCTGCAGACTCCCACCTCCAGGCTGCAGTCTGCCTCCTTTCCCTGTGACTTCGCTGTCTGTGGCTGGTTGGCTCATTGTCAGCCACACTCTTTGAAAATATTACTCTTCGTCTTGGCTCTTCCAAGAGAGAAAGAGAGGTCGTATAAACTTTATTGCAGGAGCATTGTGATAGAATCGTTCTGTTTTGTTCTGAGCTCTTGGTCACCTCTTCTGCTGCTTAATGTATCCATTAAACTTTAGTCAAAGTAAGTCTGTATAGGGAAAATCATAGTATATAAAAGATTCTGTACTTCACCCCCCATGCCAGATGTTTCCAGGTGTGGAGGCTAGTCTAGGATGTATCCACCCATGGATATGGGGGGTCTGCTGGCCTACATCTAATTAAGCAGAGGGAGGTTCTTTGCTAGGTGAGGCTGCAAAGTTAAAAATGCTTACTGCTGCACCAAAGCACAGCAGAGTGGCCCATGGCCAGTGTCCTCTGCTCATACAGCGCCCTTCCTCCAGCCACCAGGGGAGGCAAGGCAATCTTTGAACACAGAGCAGTGAGGTGGGTACCCATGGGTGTCCTGGGCTGGGAGCTCTGTCTGTGGGATAGAGAGAGCAGGGCTGGTGACAAGTGCTGGCAAGTGCAATGCCAGGCCTCTGTGTCATCAGCCTGTCCGTGCAGTGCACTGGAATCCTCCAGTGGAGAACAAAGAAGAAGAAGATAAAAAGCCCAGGGTGGGATTGCCCTGTGAGGCCCGGGACAAGTTTGTCCCATGAGGTCCAGGACAAGGAGGGTGAGGCAGTTTGGGGCGCTGGTTGCTTCCTGTCAGCAGCCTGTCTTGGTAACTGACCCTGATGGAGCGGTCCCTGGATTACAGCATTGTCCTTATAACAAAAACACCAAGGCACAGCAGAGCCCAGTGCATTGCCTTCCTCACAACCCCACCTGCCCACAATCCTGCTGGAGGGCTCATCAGAAAGGGAATAACACCACAGTGAATGGCAGGAGAGAGCAGAGTGGGGCAGAGGGCCTGTCACCTGCCACTGGACAATCGGCTCATGAGAGCCGGCGGCGGCCATGCACTTGACCCTGAGTTTGCATCTGCTACTGTTCTTTCCTACCTCGCCAGGCAGTCAAATCCCCAGTAGAACAAGTCACTTCCTGGGAAACTCCGTGTGCCCCTGGCTGCACAAGTGCCTCAGCCCACACGCTCCCCCATCTCATCTGTGCAGTTCAGTTGTTCTTAGAAGCTTGTCTAAGCTGCAAAAATAAACATCTAACCTCCCCTGAGTGTCATGCTTTTCTTTCCAACCCATGGAGCCCTCTGGTTAGAACCTGCTGGCCAGCGGGCTACTGAACTATGCAATGTTAGCCACTGAGGCAAGGCAGATGTGTGGATCCACAGCCGCGGGTGTGGCAATGAGGAAATACGGGGAGTGGGGAATCCAGTGACCCAGACCAGTTTGGGGAGTGCATGGCTCAGCTTGCTAGCAGTAGAACTCAACGCATGAAGCAAGCTACTTAGAAAAAGTGGTTGGTTTGGACTCAGCACCTCAGAGGTCCGAGTTGCAGAGGATACCCATAGGTTTGGCCACCAACGAAGATGGCAGTGGTAACAGAGCAGGTGCAGAGGAAGGATCACAGGGCAAGCATGGAAGTGGAAAGTGGCTGGACTTGTCTCGGGCATTTGTAGCTGATCACTTACAAGTACTTCTCCCAGGATCCTAAGGACCCCCACCCACAGGAAGCTGACTTGCTAAACATCCTAAATGGGTTGGGCCCTGCCCGATAGCCTAGTTGCTAAAGTCCTCACCTTGACTGCACCGGGATCTCATTTGAGCACTGGTTCTAATCCCGGTAGCTCTGCTTCCCATCCAGCTCCCTGCTTGTGGCCTGGGAAAGCAGTCAAGAATGGCCCAAACCTTGGGACCCTGCACCCGTGTGGGAGACCCAGAAGAGCTCCTGGCTTCAGATTGACTCAGCTCCAGCCGTTTGTGGCCACTTGGGGAGTGAATTAGTGGACAGAAGATCTTCCTCTCTGTCTCTCCTGCTCTCTGTATATTTACCTTTCCAATAAAAATAAATAAATCTTTTAAAATTTTGTAAAGAAAAACATCCTAAGTGGGTTGTTTCTACCTTCTTAGTATCAACTCTTACCCATGTTAAGAGCTAACTCTTCAAACCAGAGCAGTAAGTCTCTGCAGGGGCCCCGGCAAGCTGGGAAGGCTTCAAGAAAGAAGCAGCATCTGCTCTGAAATGGTCTGAAGACTTGAGTGTTACAGCCACCAGACTGTTTCAACGTACAGAAGGAAAATGAAGAACTCACATGCCGAGAGCTGGCTGAAAGCCACAGATCATCTCCCCAGGAACGGGAACCAAAAGACGGCCATGCAAGTTGGAGTAAGAGTTTTCCAGAGCAGGAGCTATGGCCAGGAAATAACGTCATGATAAAGGCTTCTTGTGCTCAGTGCTGGGAGAGCTGGGTTGACAAAGAAGTAATGAAATAAATAAGTGAGATGTACCCGCTGGGAAGGTGGATCACACGAGACCTGAGCAACAAGCCCCGTAACTGGCAGCTGTTGGAGACAGGAAAGATACCACGCAGCCATCTGGTAAGAGGAGTCTTTGCAAAGGGAGGTGAGTTAACCCCTTGGAACAGAAGGTTTTCACCCTGGGTCATTTCTCTACTCTCCACACACAAAGGATGTTGGCACCACTAAAGCAGAAATGCACAAACCTGTCAGAGCAGCACCAGCATGTTCCAATAAAGGCTTTGATAATTTCTTTTTACAGGGCCAGCACATTAGGCTCAACTGGCTAATCTTCCACCTCTAAGTGCTGGCATCCCATATGAGTACCAGTTCATGTTCTGGCTGCTCCACTTCCCATCCAGCTCCTTGTTTATGGCCTGAAAAAGCAGCAGAAGATGGCCCAAAGTCTTGGGATCCTGAACTTATGTGAGAGATCCAGAAGAAGCTTCTGACTCTTGGCTTTGGATTAGCTTAGCTCTAGCCATTGTGGCCACTTGGGGAGTGAGCCAGCAGGTGGAAGATCTTTCTCTCTGTCTCCCCTTCTCTCTCTCTCTGTAAATCTACCTTTCCAATGAATACCTAAATCTTGAAAGAAAGAAAGAAAGAAAGAAAGAAAGAAAGAAAGAAAGAAAGAAAGAAAGAAAGAAAGGAAGGAAGGAAGGAAGGAAGGAAGAAAGGAAGGAAGGAAGAAAGAAAGAAAGAAAGAAAGAAAGAAAGAAAGAAAGAAAGAAAGAAAGAAAGAAAGAAAGAAAGAAAGAAAGAAAGAAAGGAAGGAAGGTCCTTTGTTACTCACTGACGTGAAATTTGGGCATAACACAATCTTTCAGGCCTATAAGTATGTAAAGTCCATTTAAAGCCTTAATTGAAACATAAAGTAGAAATAAAGACAAGGTAACATACCAAAATATACCTAGCCATGTACTCATCATTATCATCATCATCTTACAAGAGTAATATTACTAAGTAGAAATGCAATGACACTGAACACTGACACTGTTGGCCCTCTTGCTTTATAGCTGACATTTTGAAGACAAAGGCTAAAGGTGTGTGTGCATGTGCATGAGCATGCCAATTCTGTCTGAAACTGCTGAATGCTAAGAAGAAGCCAAGTTGGGTAAAGTTCAACCAAGACCAACTAGATTTGGAAGTATTGGCACTTCTGAAAAATTCAATGTCATGTTGGGAGCAGAATACAAGTAGGGCAGAGTAGAAGTCATACAACAAAGACAACGATTTTGGGTACTTTTTGGAGTCGTGTTGTCACAAGAGGACTGGGCACTGGGCATGGTGTTAGGATTGGAGGAGGGTTGCTAATTTCTCCCCTGGTTCTGATTGAGCACGCTTTAAATGTTTCTGGGAAGGAACAAGAAAGAAGGAGTTGTTCTAGAGAGAAAAAGATCAAAATCCCAAGAATACAGGAAAAGCTGAGGTGTAGGGGGCAGGTGCCTTCAGAGAGGGGCAGCAGCTTTGTTCTATGTCCCTTCTGTGAGTGCCAGGTCCCTCT